TCTTTGATGTTGTAACCATATAAAGCACAAAAAGGAAGAAGGAATCCTGTTAAGTTTAGCATTACAGTTTAAAATTAAAAAAATTAAAATGTCAAGCACATAGTTGAAGTGACTAACATCTGGAAAGGTTAATCAGATATGGGTTTAATTCCTTAAAAAATTTTCATTAGAAACTGTATAAATAGGGCATTCCTCTGAGACCAGTTTCACCTTTTCACTACTGTCAAATACATAGCAAAGTACCTTCTTCCATTGTCTACTTTCAGCTAATGAACAGCTGTCCTAAACTTGTTGTATGTTACACATACTGACTATGAACTACCTCTTCACCTATTATGAGGAAGTTTCCTTAATAAAAGTGTGACAACTAAAACCCTGGTGTCAATGGCTTGCTTCATTCTCCCATTTTCTTCTGAAATCCTTGAATGCCAGTGGAGGTAAGTGTTACATTCTTTATATATAGGATGGTGTCACTTTTAGGACAAAAATCTAAAATACTCATTTGCTAGAAAAGTTACCAAGTTACTAGTCCAAATGATTTCAAAATTGTAAAACTCCTGTATTTTAGAGATTGATTGCAGGTTATAATGAGAACTACTACTCTCATTCACAGCTAAATAGGGGAGCTAATTATGAATTAAAGTCTGAGAGCTACTACTCTCATTCACAGCTAAATAGGGGAGCTAATTATGAATTAAAGTCTAAGTTCACAACTAACCCTTAGGAAATAATTGGAAAGATCTAGGATTGCATTGGAGTAGGTAGTATTCTCCCTCCAATACTCCTTTGTAGATAATCTTGGTAACTTTGAAAATTGAATCTCTTATCTGGTGGCTGATCCTTTGGTGTTGGCCTCTTCAGTTTGTTTTTCAGATGCAGACTCACATAGCCTTTCTGCTTGGCAGGCCAGCCAAAGTTTGTAACTGGTTGGCATAACCTTTGAGAACCTAAGTTTCCCTCCAGTTAGCTAGGATTAATGGAGGCACAGCCAAAGAGGGGAAGTAATTATGAATTAAAGTTACTGATCTGAAGGTGTTAATGACCAGATTGGTGAAGTGAAAGGAAATAATATACATTAAGCACCTGATATGCCCTGCTGTCTGTCCTTGATGAGAGATCCAAAGGCTGGAAAAGAACACAGCTCTACTTCTTGAGGAACTTACAATCTAATAGTGACTTATAGCCAATAGAAATATTCATAAATCATGGGGTTTAGAAATATGAGAGACCTTAGAGATCATCTAGATCAGGGGTGTCTAACATGCAACCCTGTCATGTGGCCTGCAGCTAAACCAAATCAAAATGTAATTTGAAAATATTTAACAAAAATACAGTGAAATATAAGTTATACTACATTTGAAAATTAAATCAATTTGCTACTGTCAGGGATTCTTATGCAAGTGTTAGTGACCCCTGTTTCTATTTTGAGTTTGACCTCACTGATCTAGACCACTTTACTGAGGTGGGGAAGCTGAAGGCCTGGAGAGGAGAAGTGATATTAAGTACCTGCAAAGGGCTAATGATGTGGGGGAGAAATAAATCTTTGGGATTGTGGTTGTCTAGGGAACAGGGTGGGATGATTGTATAATTGGGTGAGTTTGGAACTGGTTGAGTCACCCCCTCTCCACCACCCCACTGCTGCTTGATAGGTCCAATGACGTTTTGGATAAAGGTCCCTAGTGGAGCAGGTAAGAAAGAGGATGTTCCCTTGATCTCATTGTATTTATTCTTATTTTTGTCTTGGATCAAGGTAAAATGGGTAGACATTAAATCAGTGAATAATACAAAAGTTGGGATATTTAGTAAACTTGATTAGATTGGGACCAAAAAAAAGATCTTGATATGCCATAACAGTAAACTGTCACTTTGATACAGCTGTGAACTCTAGTTGGTGTGGATATTCTCTTCAGTACAATTTTATCTAACTCATAGAGGTCTTCCTTTTCAAACCTAGGGTCCACAAACTTAAAAAAATTTGTATTTTGAAAACTTTATATATAATTGATTTTCTTTGTAGTCATATACTGTGGTTTTTAAAGACATTCCAAGAACGGGTTTATAGACTTTACCAAACTTCCAGAGGGGTCCATGGCAGCAAAAAAAAAAAAAAACCAAACTGAAAAATCTATGCTTTAGATCTTTTAACATTTTAGTGGATTACAGTTAAAGGGCTTTAGGTTCCAGATTTGCTTCCCAGTGAACAATGTCTAAGTGTGGTGCTTTGCATTTGGTAAATAAAACATGGTGAGCATTCCCCATCCCTCAACCACCCATGCCTATTGGAGCATCCCTTATAAGAGGCTTATCCAAGGTCCTGATAATAGTAGTCCACAGTAGTTGAGAGACTTGCTAGATCAGAGGAAAAGCTACCTCTTCCTTGCAATTATTTTTTTGACTCTCAAAGCCAAGTGCTGCTGGGTTGGGGAGGGGTCACAATGATCAAAATAGGATCCCTGTGACTTGGGGTTGCATGTCTCTGGAGTTTCTCCCTATCCCCTGTTTTATAATCTTGTTTTTCTGGACTTGATCTCCCTTTAGTCCTGATTTTTGATCCCACTGAGCTATGTTTTCATTCTGCATACTACTCTTGGGGTACTTCATTATCCTAGATCTATATAGTACAGTTGGATATTGGTGGGAGATGTAGCTACCAGAGTAGCACTCAGTGTGTTCATTTATCTTTTTACTGTTGCTATATCACTGACTGGCTTACCTTTTCCAGTTACAAATGTCCTAGAAGAAGCCTTTCATGCTACTTCTTTTTTCTAGTCATTGTTGGTAATGTGCTGCATTCTGCTTGCACTTTTTTTTGTCCTTGGAGTCACCTACAATTTTGTTGTTGTTTTGCAGTTGAGTTGTTACATGATTCACAGCTACATAGCATCACTAGGAAAATATTGGTCAGGTGTGGGGAACCTGTGGCCTCAAGGTTTCTCCCCACCCCTGATATTGGTATTTTAGAGATGATTTTTGTGTCAGAGATCAGCTTGGATCTGTTGAAAGTCCTGCACACTTTCAGAATGAAATACAACCTATTCTTTCCCTGTTTAGCTGTGGTCCCAGGCCATCCATTTGCATGTAGCATCTGTCTAATATGCATGTACCAACTCAGTGAGCAGCCCATCCAACTGATTGCATGTCATAATTTTGTTAATAAACATTCTTCATTTATTTGGTTTTTTCTGTTTGTATTGTTATGCTAATTTTCAAATTGACTTTAGCTCTTGTGGAAGAGGCCTGAGAGTATTCTTGGACTTTATAAGGAATCTAGCTCATTCTGATGAAGTGACCTACTCAAGTTCACACAGCTAGTCACTGTTAACAGTTAGGACTGCAACTGAGGATTTCTAATTTATCTCTTCCATCTACGTATCTGCCTTTCTATATACTTTTATTAACAGCTATTTTCTAACCATCCTTCCCCTAACTGAAAAAAAAAATATTTGTAACAGATATGCATGAAGTCAAACAAATTCCAGTAGCTATATCCAAATATATGTGTGCATGTATACACGTGGCTATGCATATGCATATATATGTATATATTTATTTCAAAACCTGGAATCCATTCCTTTCTGTCAGGAGATAGGTAGCTCACATTATCATTGGTCTCCTGGAATTGTGGTTGGTCATTGCAAGCAACTTTAGTCGTTCAAAATTGTTTGACTTTTTTTTTTTGCTAGGCAATGGGTTTAAGTGACTTGCCCAGAGTTACAAAGCTAGTGTTATGTGTCTGAGGCCGAATTTGAACCCAGGTCCTCCAGGGATCTGAATCCAGGGCCAGTGCTCTATCCACTGCGCCACCTAGCTGCCCCATATTATTTTATTTTAGGCATTTGGGGTTAAGTGACTTTCCCAGGGTCACACAGCTACTAAGTGTCAAGTGTTTGTTCTGAGGCGAGATTTGAACTCAGTTCCTCCAGACCTCAGGGCTGGTGGGCTATCCACTGCGCCACTTAGCTGCCCCAAACTTGTTTGACTTTATAAGTTTTTGTTACTTTGTAAGTCGTTCTGGTTCTGCTTATTTCACTTTACATTAATTTATTCTACTCTTCCCAGGTTTTTTTTTTTGGGGGGGAACCATCTCTTGTCATTTTCTTTTACCACAGTAGTATTCTGTTACCAAAATTTGTTCAGCCTTTCCCCAGTTGATGGGCATTCCCTTATTTTATAGTTCTTTGCAACTACAGTAAGAGCAACTACGAATTATTTTGTACATATACCTTTTCATCCTCATTTGATCTCTTTGGAGTATATGGTTAGTAGTGGTTATCACTGGGTCAAAGGGTTTGCAGTATAGTAACTATTGGGGCATAATTCCAAATTGCTTTTGAGAATGGTTGGACCAATTCGCAACGTCACCAAACAGTGCAGTAATGTATCTGCTTTCCCGCAGCCCCTCCAACGTTTGTCTTTTATCTCGGGGAGATTTCTGACTCCAAAGAAAAATGCTGCTATCAGGTCTAGTGCTTCATAATGAATGTTGGAATCTGAAATGTTCTAACTGAAAGGAGCCTCAGGACACAGCATATGAGATACTCTTTTGGGGGTTTATTTTCTTCATTTCTAAATAAGGCTCTTGGACTAGTTCTCTCCAAATTTTTCAGATAAGGAAACCGAAATTCTGTGAAGGAGCTCATCTGAAACTCAAATGTCCGGACGAAGAACTATTGGCAATTTATACGAGCAACTAAGCTCCCTTTGCTTATGACTGGGCGCATCCGGTAGCGTTCTTCCAGCACCTTACCGGCTACGTCTAGCAGCATTTCCAAATTGCGAAAGTAGGGCGAGATAAAAACGTCCCTTAACAACCACTTCCGGGGGCTCGCCGGAAGTAGGTAGGGACCAAACAGTCGCGTGCAGGTCAGTCTTTGGGGTGTGTAGGATGGCCGCAGGGATGTGCTTCCGGTTCGCCGCTCAGCTGCCTGTCCTGCTATTGCCGCCGCCGCCGAATTGGGTGGAGCGGCCGGCGGAGGGTGAAGTCGGCCTACCCCGGAAGGGTTTTGTCCCAGACTGGGCCAAACTTCCGGAGTGGGAAGCCGTTGCACCCTTCTCTGCTGTTGCCCGAGGGGCCTCACCTTGGAGGGCGCAGTTTCCTGCCGGTCCGCGGCCGCTGCGCGTGAGTGTGGAGGGTGGGAACGCTCCGGGCAGCTCGGGACTGACGGTGGGCAGAGGTTGGGGTCTGACGCGAGGCTTTTCCCAGTTTTCCACTGCCGGGGTTTGGAGAGAAAGGGCCGGAAAGGGAGGGAGAGGCCCTGGGGATGGACACCTTGATAAAGGGGGAAGAACCCATACGATGACAACAGCTTCTCTCACCACAGTCTTGTGAGGCCGGCAGGGATTATAGTCTCCACTTTTGACATATTTAGAAGTCGAGGCTCTAGGAGGTTGTTCATAGGGACCTTACAGACAATCTATTCCAACTCCTTTATTTAATAGATGAGGAAACAAGACACAGAGAGTTCACGAAGATTTGTTGGTGATTGAGCAAATGAGGGTGAGAATCGTGTTTCTCTTCAGGTCTCTTAACTTTCAGCACTGGCTCCTTCCACTGTGTCACTCTGCTTCTCTAACTAGATTGGGCCACCGAGCTTTAGAGTTCTAAAGAATCATTTAGTTTTGACTTTTTTAGGGGAGTTGCCTGGGTGTCAACTTCACATCCTTTTTTGAATGAATTTGGGGTTTGAGTTGTACCAACAACACCTTACATTTCATTTAGTTCAACCATTTCTTCTTACTGGTGAATAAACTGAAGACAGGAGAGGTGAAACATCTAAGGTAGGAGAGATATTTTACTCGGAGAAGAGCAGACTTGAGGTAGGGGACATGAATAACTCTTTTCAAATATTTGTTACATATCGTAGAAGAGGGCTTGGATTTCCACTGGACTCCACAGAACAAAATGGGAAGCAAGGCTTGTGAGTGTAATTTTTAGGGAGGTAGGTTTTGGCTTAATTTTGGCATGATATAAGGAAGAACTTAACAATTGTCTAACTGTATTGTGAGGTAGTAAGCTATTCAGTGGAAGTGTTAAAGAGAAAGCTGCCTGATCACTTTTCAGGCAGGTGTTTTAGGGTGCCTGCCTTTCATGAATGTTGTGCTTTGGGCTTCAGGTAGAAATTGGATTAAATGACCTCTAAAAGGTCCTCCTTCCCCTCATTTCTAAAAATTTATGATTCTACAGCTCATCCAAGATCACATAGCAAGGTAGTACCAAAACATCTGCCAACATCTAGACCTGATTTCTAACCCAAATGATTATTTTTAAACTATAGTATTTTAAAGTGGTCTTTAAGTTGGAACTATGTCTTCCATTATAACATTTGTATTTTGTTTTTCTTAATAAGTGTGACCATGGCTGCTGAATCTGATGTCCTGCACTTCCAGTTTGAGCAGCAAGGTGATGCGGTCCTACAGAAAATGAATCTCTTGAGACAGCAGAATTTATTTTGTGATGTATCCATCTATATCAATGACACAGAATTCCAGGGACACAAGGTGATTTTTGCTGCTTGCTCTACTTTCATGAGAGATCAGTTTTTACTCAACCAGTCAAAGCAGGTCAGAATTACCATCTTGCAGAGTGCAGAGATTGGCAGAAAGTTATTGCTCTCTTGTTATACTGGTGCACTGGAGGTCAAAAGGAAAGAGCTTTTGAAATATTTGACTGCTGCAAGTTACCTTCAAATGGTACATATTGTGGAGAAGTGCACAGAAGCTTTGTCCAAGTATTTGGAAATAGATTCTTCTATGAAGAACAATAGTCAAGGTGCTGAGATGTGTCATTCCTCTTATCCAGAACTAAAGGATGAAGATGAAAATTTAGAGAGAGACTGTGAAATAATTGAGATTTCTGAAGACAGCCCTGTAAATTTGGACATCCAAGTTAAGCAAGAAAAAGACAATGCTTTGCAGCCTACTATACAGAGCTTAATATTGGACAAAAAAGATATGAAAACATCAGAGATTTCAGCCGTTGAAATAGGATATAAAGATGATGAAATTTGCATCTTCCGAATGGATTCCATCAATGTGCCCACTATAGAAAGTGAGCAGTTTTCACAGCCTTGTACCTCTTCTAAAACAAATATATATTTTCCAGAAACACAGCATTCACTGATTAATTCTACAGTGGAAAGTAGGATGACAGAAGTTCCTGGGAATCACTTTCAAGGGTTTATTGGTGAAAGTACAGAAGGCAGTGTTGGTGTAACAAATGGGCTTCAAAGTCTAGAAGAGGGTTATTCCTGGCGACACCAGTGCCCCAAGTGTCCACGAGGATTTCTTCATCTTGAAAACTATCTACGCCATCTGAAAATGCACAAGCTGTTCTTGTGTTTGCAATGTGGAAAAACATTTACACAGAAGAAAAATCTTAACCGGCACATCCGAGGACACATGGGCATACGACCATTTCAGTGTTCTGTGTGTTTAAAGACATTTACTGCCAAGAGCACTCTTCAGGACCACTTGAACATTCACAGTGGAGACCGGCCCTATAAATGCCACTGTTGTGACATGGACTTCAAGCACAAATCTGCCCTCAAAAAGCACTTGACTTCTGTTCATGGGAGAAGTAGTGGTGAAAGGACGAACCTTGACATCATCACAAAAGTCAAAATAGACTATGATTAATAGTAATACTCACTTGCTTTGGAGACTTGGGTATTATAATCCATCATCTTGAGTTCTGCAAAAATACTCCTTTGTAATTCTGTATGCTCTTCCTATGTTTGTCTGATTTTTCGATGTATTCGCATATAAATGTTTTTGTAATATCCTTAAAAGTTGTTGGAGTTAATGGAATGGTTGATGGAGTTCTTTTCTACCTTAAATATCCTTACCAAAATATTAGCTGATTTTCATAGCCAGCCTATTTGGTGCTTTATGAAGTGTTGTGAATATAGGTTCTTGGTGAAGATTGTTAACTGACTCTTGGCTAAAGGGGCAGAAAGAACTCAATGGTATTTTTCAGGTTTTTCAGTTAATTTGCATTGTTAGTGCTTCACACAGGAACAGCAACCATATTTTACTTGTACTCTTATCTTGGTGACCATTAGAAGAAAATAAATCTGGGACCTTGCCAGTCTTGGTTCATTTTAAAATCACTTTTAAGAACTATTTGTCCGGTAGATGAAAGCAAGTGTGATGAATCTTTTCCCAATTAGGATAAATATATTGATTACCTTTACAAATTCTACAACTTCTTCTAAACCAAACAGTATGTTGGCTATTTGGTTGAAATTATGAAATAACATTTGTTGTGTATAAAAAATTCTGTTACCTCCAGAGAAATTATTCAGCATATCATTTATTTCAATATGAGTATTCTCTCCACTTGTTCAAAGGGCAACTCATCTGTACTTTTTCATCCATTATGATTGGCTTTATCTTTATATCAATCTTCCATAAAGGTTCAACCTGACATACCTGATATCATCATCTTTTTAAAAAATTGTTATTATTTCGTGAATAACATTGCAGCACTTGTGCATTCTGTCCATCTGTTCTTTCTTGCTTTTGCTACATTTTTTGCCAACCTCCTTTTCTAATCCTTATTAATATCTTTTATACTAGTTCTTGGGCACAGATCATCATTGTGAATATGCTGCAGCCTACCTGTGCCACCAAAGGAATACGCAGGGTTATATTAAAGTTGATTTTTATACAAACACATTTGTATATATAATATATATATATACACACACCCCTACGTGTGTGTATGTGTTTTATATGTAAACATACACACGTATATAGATAAAAATATATAAACACTTCTTTCACTGGAATAAGACGTAATTGTAGCCATGTAATGTTTTTAATATATTTTAATTTATTTCCATTTGAGAAGAAATTTTACTTATTTGAATACTGGTTCACATACTTTGGAAATGAATACTGAATTAGCTGTGGTCTCTATATTTAATGCAAATATGTCAAATATTTTTATCATCAGTATGATTATGTTACCAATAAGAAACAGCATTTGCTGGAAATATACAATTTATGGAAGACATTGAATGTGTTCTAGATATCATTACTGTTTTTAATTTGTCATGGCAATATCTTTTTTTGTTATGACAATGCTTTAACCTGGTTTTTTTTTTAAACTTAGTACTGTATATGTATAGTTGTGATTTTTCTTAGTGATAAATTTTTTTCACGTGACTAAGGCTGACTTTCAAAGATTGATGTTAAAATAATTTGAGTACTTTTTTTCTGATCTAGATATATGTATTCTCCATGGATGTGCCAAAAGTAAAAACATGTATGCCTCAGTAAGTGTAGTGGAAGTAAAATTTATTTTTGTTCTTGTTAAGTACTAAAGTTCCCTCTTATTTCTATATACTTATAGTACAGTAGAACTTTGTGGGTTAAGGCATCTTGTCAACCTCTGAGAGAAGTGATTGAGTGTTAAGTTATATTTCAGTAGCCTGCTAATTAATTTCCCTTCATCAGAACTCTCCACTTTTCCAGACATCCTCTACCCACCTGCCAAAGTGATATCCTAAAGCACAGGTCTGAACAAATCTCTCCCCTGCTCATATAGTGCCAGCAACTCCCTATTTCCTCTAGGATGAAATACAAACTCTTGTTCTTCTTTGGGACATAAAGCCCATTAATCTATCTCCAGTCTACTTTTCCATCCTTATTACAACATTATTCACCTTTACACACTCTGGTCCTGCCAAACTAACCTTGCTGCTCCCCATACTGGACAAAGCATCTCATTTCTCCATAGCTTTGCATCCTCATTCCTGGAATGCATTCTCTCCCCACTTTTGCCTCTAAATCCTTAACTTCCTTAACTCAAGTGCCACTTCTTACATGAGGCCTTTACTGATTCTCCCAGTATCCTTCCCCTCTTCTCTTGCCATCTCCATTTGCTTTATATTTACTATTTGTATATTTTGTATTTACTTATATGTATGTTTCCCCTGATAGAATGTAACCTCCTTGAGGGCAGGGAATGTTTTGTCTTTGTAGTCCCAGTGCTTGGTACATAGTGGACATTTAATAAATGCTTGTTGATTGATTGATTGTGCCTCCTGCAATATGGAAATTGTGTTATGTAAAAACTTGACAAAATTATCCTACAAGGCAAATGTTAAGCTTCCCTTCACCTCATGCAAGTGTTATATAGGAATTCTCCTGTGTAATATTTCTTTTGAAACTTCATTATTTTCAAATGTTTTACATTTCAGCTATTTGTGAGGATTTTAGCTAACAGGGAATTTTTTTTTTTAATGGCCAAACCTGTGAGTTCAGCAGTGTGTGTGGAAATTTCCATTGTGGAATGTCCCTCTGTGATTGTGGAGAAGCAGTGTTGTCTCTTCTTTAATAGTTTTAAAGAATTGCCTAGGAGTACTGAGAAGTTAAATGATTCTCCCATTTTAATACTTCTTAGTACGTGTAAGAGGTAAGACTTGAACCCAAGTCTGTCTTACGCTGAGGATGGGCTTTCTATAGCTCATGCTACCCCTCAGCTGAGGATCATTTAACATATAAATGCTAAATGACTTTATTTCCTAAGTATCTGTGGAAAACATTATAGAATCATAGAATCTTAAAATGTCCAAAATATAATTTAGACTTTCTGGACCTTACTTTCCATAGCTGCAAAATGAAGAGAGTGAATTTGATTTATATGATTTCAGCTCTAATTTATGAATTTAAATTTTACTGGTCATTTGAGCTAGAAGATGGGAGACTTGAGAGGGCATTCATAGAGCTATATAAAATGTTTTAAATGTATTAGTGATAGAATTTAACTACAATGGATTTTTTTCCCCTTTGTCAGGAAAAAAACCCATTCAATAAACACATTAAAGTTACCATCTGTGAATGGAGAAATGGACTTATGTGCTAGGATTTGTATTTTTGCAAAATACTTTCCTTACAAAAATCTGATAGGGAGTACAATTATTATCCCGTGGAACAGGTATGTAGGGGAAAATGTCCTTGCCCAAGATATACTGATAACGTGGCCAAATAAGATACGGTCCTTGCTTTCAAGGATCTTACTTTTTCAGCAATTTAACTGTCTTTTGAACTGGACCTTTAAAATAATTATATTTAGATAAACTTTACCTTTCAGAAGAAATTTTCTTGAGATTAAATTTGAAGCTTTATTTTTCTTCATTGATAGCTTCATGTTTTAAAATTTATAACATTTTGTGGGTGGAAAGAATAGTTCATAAGAAATAACATTTTTTTGGGAATGTATATCATACCCAGTTCAATATTTTAAAAATATTTTCTTCCCAATTGTAACTAATTTAAGTATTGACATATATACAGACATACATATATGTATATGTACATGTATATACACATACCTGTATACCTTATAAGAATGTCATGAGAATCATTTTGTAAAGCACTTTTAGATCTTTGGGATAGACAGAAAGATTGGAAATGTTGGTTATTCCGTCCAATAACACAATGTTTCCATGAGAAGAAATTCTCAGGGCAGTGTCTGCTTGCATAGTATATCTCAATGGAGTTTGGAAAGTGGAATCATTTTAGAAATGCAGGTGTGTAAGGGTTTCAAAGGGGAAAGAGAAAGGAACAAGCATTTATTTATCTAGTGCCTACCATGTGCTAGACACTGCTAATCACTTATAAATATCTTATTTTGTACAGAGTAGAATTTTTCTTTTTTTTTTTTTTAAGGCAGTTGGGGTTAAGTGACTTGCCCAGGGTCACACAGCTGGTAAATGTCAAGTGTTTGGTCGGAGGACTCAGGTCCTCCTGACTTCAGGGCCGGTGCTTTATGCACTGCGCCACCTCCCTGCCCCTTAGAATTTTTCATTGTAGAGAGATACAATGTGATTTTTTTTTTCATGGGCAAGAGAAAACTGAAAAAGTCCATATTCCTCAATTAAAGCTTTGCCTGTACTAAGTTTCTGTTTTAAAGATCTTGAAGAAAACTGACTTGATTTCTTCTAAATGAAATACCACTTGTCTCTTCTGTTCACCTGATTTGTACCATTTTCTCAAATGTGTAACTTAATATGTAGGATAATAAAATAGAGGTTGTATAAGAGATTGATGAGTTTGTGGAGATTTATGAAATTTTCAAGGAAAGATAAGGTTTGAGGTTTACAAAAATCGTTTCCTTGTTTACAAACTTTATAATGTAAGAGATATAAAAATATAAATTCACAATAACCCTGTGAAGTAGGGTAGAGTAAGTATTATTCCTGTTTTACAAATGAAGAAAGAGATTCAGGACAGATGAAGTGCTTTAGTCAGTCACGTAGCCATTAAGCAATTCTTATACTTTCCTTGGTTTATTCTGTAAAGCGGGAGTTCCTTCATTTCAAATCCATAGAAAGAAAATTTTATCAACAACTACTTAATTGCTTGCTTTTAGCTAGTAGTGTTCAAGGACAGGAAAACTTAAAAGAAAAAAAACTGAGTAAGGTATAAAACTGCCTTTAAACCTATAGCAATAGATCTGTGTATTTACTAAGTATCAGACGTGACATTTCAAGGGGCACATAGATTTTTAGACTTAGAATAGCCATAAAGGATAATCATTTACCACGTGGAAGTCTCCGACAGATATTATGTGACTTTCCTAAAGCAGTAAGAAGCAGGGTTCCATTTAGAAGCCCGGTCTTATGTCAATTTTAGACCTTGCTCCTAAGGGCCAGCTTGGTTAGGGCCAATACTGTTTGCAAAATAGGATGAAAGTTATGTGTCAAATCCTGCCAACTTTTTGGGGAGATGGCTGCCAACCTTGTGGGGAGATGGAGTTGGAGAGAAGTTAAATCTAACCTTTGTCCTTGAGCCACTTCATGGATGGCTTGGCCAACTTTAGCTTGAGACTATTATACGGGCTGCTACAAAACACAGAAGATGGAAGGGAGTTTCCCAGAAATCTCTCCTTCAGTCCTTCTCGTTTCCCAGAGCGCCCCAGTGTTGCTCTAGCATCACGTGATAAGGGTGGCTTACCCTGAAAGCCCTAAGGGCGAAGTAAAGAGTAAGGAAGTAAGCATGCGCGATCTCGCGCGAGTTGGGGCGTGCCTCCTCGCGAGAGGATCCCGGGGCCCGGCTCCCTCCCCGTCCGCCTCTCGCGAGGAGGTGGAGGAGGAGGAGGAGGAGGCGCCGCTGCGGCCGCCGCCGCCGCCGCCGCCGCCGCCGCAACACCATTAACGCCAACGGGGCTTTCCCGCTTGCTCCCGATGGAGTTTGAGGCCGCGGAGCCGCAGCCGAGCCGTGCCCCGGGGAGAGGAGGCGCCTTCGTCGCCGATCCCCGTCACCGCCGTCGCCCCGGGGCTCCCCGGAGCGGCCCGTAGCGACCCCGCCCGGGCCCTCAGGTAGGGCGGACGGGCGGGAACCGGGGCTTGGGCCCCTGGGGAGGCCGTGAGGGGGCGCCCTGAGAGAACGACTGCGCCTGACAGCGTCTGGGCCCGCCGGCAGGCTGCTATCTTCCCCTCTCCGTTCTCCCTCCAGGCTCCCGCAGCCACCTCTGTCTCCTCAGCTGGCTGACTGCAGCCGAGGGGCCAGGCACCAGCCACTCTTCCCTCGCCCCGCCCAGGCGGGAGCTGTGGCCTGCAGAGAGGGGCTCCCGGGGGCAGGGTCCCACGAGCTCCAGAAAGGTCCTCTGCTCCCTCTTCCTTTTACATTTTCTTTCTTTTTTCCCTAATGTCTTGCCTTCTGTCCCTACCTCTTTTTTCTCCCTTCTCCCCCTCTTCCCCCTCCCCTTTCTCATCTTTTCTCCTCCCCCTTTTTGCTTCTTCCCCTCCCGTTTTCTCTTCTCCTTTCCCTTCCCCCTTCCCTCTCTTCTTCCCCCGTCTCCCTCCCTCGTTTTCCTCCCCTTCCTCCCCCTCCCATGTGTGCTAGTCTTCCTCTTTCCAATCCTCCTTTCCTTCTCTCTCACTCTCTCCATCCGTATTCTCCTTCCTCCTCCTCTCTCAATCATTCAACATCCCTCCTTTCCTCTCCTTCACCGTATCTTTTCTCCTTCCCCATTCCTTTTTGTCTCTTCTTTTTTTCTTGTTAAAAAAAACAAAAAAACAAAAACACCAAGGAACAGTAGGTATGATTCTGAAATTAACAGAAAATCACGATGTTTTAGAGTTTGAATGGAGTTAGACATCAATTTTGCCAGTGTGTTATTTCTTCTGAGGCCCAGGTAGGGGGTGGAATCCGAGTTCTATATGAGTAGAAGACCCTTCTCCTTTACACTCATACACACCTGTCTTTGAATAACAGCCTCTTGTATTTTGACCTAAGTCAAACAATGCTCCTTGATGCCATGTAAAGGGGTTTCAACAGTAAGAGGAGAGGATTGGCTACAGAATGGCCCGGGGGATGTGACTAGCTTAATTGAATGAAAGAGAGCCAGGGAATTTATTTATTGGTGTGTTTGTGTGTTCTGTTTTCCCCCCTCCTTGTGGGAAAGCCTCTTGGGGCAACTTTTCCACCATCTTAGAGGAATGGTGTAAAGCATCATTGTTTTACAAGCATTTAAATCGTAACTGGGCATCACGATGCAGAATGCATTACGGGGAATAGTATCTCCTTGTCTTCCTTAGCATTAAGGAAATGGAAAAGGTTATGATGGCTGCCTTCACTTTTAGTTTCAATAATAAAGCAATGTGACACAAACAGAGAAGGGACAGGAATAAAAATAGATCGAAACGTAGTATTTGTTTTATGGGATATCCCTAACCAGAATCCTCACATCCCTCTCATGGGCATTTTACTAATACTTGTTAAGAGTTCTTTCCTGGATCGTATTTGGAAGCTATTGTATCCCATTAAACTTAACCTCTTCTTCTCTCCCCACCCCCATATAATGATTTTCCTAGCTTTTATTCCTTTTAACATTAATATATCAAATTCTGTGTTGATATTTGGGGAAATTACTGGAACAAAAAATGTCACAAAATTCAATTTCTGTTATATTTAGAAAAAAATGTTTTCAACGGTTTTGAAGACCACCCTTTTCAGAATCACATGCACTAGAATCCTTTAACTGTTGATCAAATGACTTTGTATTAATTGGACAGTTTCCTTACTTGATTGTCAACTTTTTACTTTGCTATATTTGCCACTTTAAAAACATTTTGATGAATTTTTTTGGTATTATCTTTTTAAGTTTGTTTTTTAACGTTAAAAACCTTAGAAATTTGAGTTGTAGTTGAGCATTTTAGAGTGTTATGTTATAGCAATATTCCAAGCAGTATTCTTTTATTGTATTAGCCAGATGCATACGTTTTTTCCCCGGATTTGAAAAATTAAGCAAACAGTAGGTAAAATAAAGCACAATGAAGAAAAAAATAAATTGTATTATATCCATTTCACTGTTAATTATCAGTAACATCTTCTTAATTGTCCTTATTATGTCTTTATAATTATTTGAAAGGCTTTCTTCAGAGTGGCTTTTGCACACTCATGTTACTTTTAAGTAAAGAGACATTTCCAGAGCATAAAGTAAAGTTGCTTTTGAACCGTCTCTTATGATAATGTGGACTTCAGAGCATGGCCATTTAAGCAAGAAATAAATTATATCATTAAAAACAGACAAATGAAAACAAGCTTATTGATAGAGCATCTTGTTGAAAATTAGCCTAATATCACTAGAGGGATGAAGAGCTTGACTTTCCCTAGGAAGGATAAATATATACAGCAAAAATTACTTGATACGATGAAATAAATACAACTGTGCCATCTAAAAAAGATATGTTTTAATTTTTAGTTCTTATGACTTTTATTGGGAGTGGTAGCTATGATAAACAAGAAAAAGGATTTGTGTTTTCGAAAATATCATGGAAAGTTTAGTCAAAAATCCATTAGGTAATTGATTTAAGCTTCAAAGTGACTTGAGTAGTAGAGTTTA